AACAGGTGAGACACGATGAGCAGCAGCTCGGAGTACCTCCCTGGACCCGACTCACGGCGGGCTCAGGGTCCCACCTCCATCTCCCTTTCCACCTCTATCTCCCTGTCTACTCGGAGCGGTGCTGACCATAAGCACCATCAACCTCCCCACTGGGGACAGGAGCTGTGTCTGCCTCAGCCACCACTGCATCCCAGGGCACTGAGCTGATGCCTGGGCAGGGGTCTCAGGAACGTGGGTCATGGGAGGAGGGAGGAGGCAGGCCAGGGGCTCCCACATAGGTCTTGCAAGCACAAACATTTTACTTCTGACATTTTTTTATGCTGTTTTGATGGACTGTCATTTTGATAGGGCCTAAAGGTTCCTATGTTTAGGCAGCAACCCCTCCAGCTGGCTCCCAGCCTAGCAGGCTGGCCTTGGCCCTGAGCACGCAGCCCCTGCCCTGCATCTGCTGCTGACCAACTGCATGACCCGACCCTGTCAGGTGACACCTGGCAGGAGTGTGGCAGCACAGTCCTGGAAAGATACCACGTTCTCATCACCCTCAGCCTCTTTCTGGTGCCAGGTGACAAAGCCTTGGTCATGCCTACTTTCACAAAGGAAAGCTGCTTGGGTGCTGTGGTTGATGGCCTACGGGCCCACCTGCCACCGTACTAGTCAACAGCCCAGAAAATGTGGGCTGGGCACGGTGGCTCATACCCGTAATCCCAGCACTTTGGGAGGCCAAGATGGACAGATCGCTTGAGGCCAGGGGTTTGAGACCAGCCTGGGCAACATGGTGAAACTCTATCTATACTAAAAATACAAAAATTAGCTGGGTACAGTGGCTCATCCCTGTATTTCCAGCACTTTGGGAAGCCAAGGCGGACAGATCACATGAGGCCAGGAGTTTGAGACCAGTCTGAGCAACATGGTAAAACCCAGTCTCTACTAAAAGTACAAAAATTAGCCAGGTGTGGTGGCACATGCCTGCAGTCCCAGCTACTCCAGACAGCTAGCTGAGACACGAGAATCGCTTGAACCCAGGAGGTGAAAGTTGCAGTGAGCCCAGATCATGCCACTGCACTCCAGCCTGGGCAACACAGTGAGACTCTGTCTCAAAAAAAAAAAAAAAAAAAAAAAAAAAGAGAGAGAGAGAGAGGAAATGTGTATGCTGCTTCATGCCCTCCTTCTGGTTCTAAGTACTCCCTAAACCACAGATTCACACAAGGCGGCTCTATTCCAGGGAAATGCAAAAACAAAGCAGCAGTCCCACAGATGGAGAGCCACACGGCATGAGATATACTACAAGATCTAGGAGGACCTTCAGCAAAGAAAGCTGCTTAACCCAGTGGTGCACATAGCTTTTGTTCAGAAATATGTTTTAGTAGGTGCATATTTAGAGAAGCTCAGGTAACTCTCAACATATTCCGAACACGTTGAGTGAATTCAACTGCTTAGTTTTATGGATATGAGAACTAAGTCCCCAGACATTCTGTCTCTTAGCATAATTGCAGTTTTGCAACCCTCACGGCTTAGAACACTTTCACCACCCCAGAAAGCAACACCATACTCAACGGCAGTCACTTCCCACCATTCCAGGGAGAGAAAAATTTACACAACCATTTATAATGGCAAAGAATATAACATACTTTAGATTCACAGCAACCACAATAAAAAATTTGACGGGACTTTCTAGCAGAAATTGATGAGTTGTTTATATTTTTATCTACTTGGAAATGCAATAGATCCAGAATAGCTACAACAATTGTGAAGAACGACAAGTTTGGAGGAATTATTTAATCAGATTTCAAGCCTTACCCCTTAACTATAGTTAAAATGACCAAGAGTTCCTGGCCTAAAGGCAACACAGAAGAGATTCCAGAAATAGATCCACACACATATACAGGCTGAGTACCCCAATCTGAAAACCCCAAATCCAAAATGCTCCAAAATCTGAAACTTTATGAGCACCAACACAATGCTCAAAGGAAATGCTCATTGGAACATTTTGGGTGTCAGGTTTTTATATCTGCAATGCTCAACTGATAAGCATAATGGAAATGTTCCAAAATCCAAATAAATGAATATATGAAAACTCGAAACACTTCTAGTCCTAATCATTTTGAATAAGGGATATTCAATCCGTACAATCAAATGATTTTCCCCAAAGTCAAAAGGTAAATCAGGAGGGGAAAGAAAAGTATTTAACAGACCCTTACCTCACACCATACATAAAAATTAATTCAAGATGGATCACAGACTAAATACGCAAGTGAAAACTATAATTCTAAAATATAAAGAGGAGAATACCTAGGGATCATAAAGATGATCCCTAGGTAGGCAAAAATTTCCTAGAGAGAATACACTGTGTAACTGCTGTTTTTAAAAATCTATAAATTGGACTCCAACAAAACTAAAAAGTTCTGCTCATTAAAAGAAAGACACCATTAGGAAAGTGAGATGACAAGCTTTGGACTAGAAGAAAATATTCCCAGTACAGCTAGTGCTCGACTTACGACCACAATTGGGACCGGCAGACCGGTCGTGACACAATTTGGTTGTAAGTTGAGTAGGCTATATGTACAGTTGAAATGGTGCACGCGGAGATGGTAGTGCTGCCGGAAGCTGGTCCGCACTGTCGTACGCCCAGCTGGGCAATGTTTGCGCTGCCAGACGCGGAGCAGACGTGGCTAGCGATTGTGGTCGTAAAGTCGAATGGTTGTAAGTTGCATAGGTCATAAGTCGATCAATACCTGTATAAACATACATGATGGTAGTTTTTAGGTGCCAACATGTCTAGATGAAAGAATAATCCAGAGAACTGGTAACGTGTGGCTCCTGGGTGTGTCTGTGTGGCTGCTTCCAGCAGGGACTGTGTGTCAGCCAGGGACCAGGTAGGGATCTGCCCGCAGTGTGAGCAGTGCCATCAAAACTGCTGAGGGCCCAGATAGGAAAAAAAAAAAAAAAAAAGAGAGAGAAAGAGTGATTTCCTCTCTCCCTGCTGGGGCTGGGACATTGTCTTCCTCCTGCCTTGGACATCAGAACTCCAGGCCCCCTGGCCTTTGGGATCCAGGAGTTAACAGCAGCCCCGTAAGTTCCAGGTCTTTGGCTTCCCTGGTTATAAGGCTTTCAGACTTGGCCTGAGCCCCACTACTGACACTCCAGGGTCTCCAGCCTGTAGATGGCCTGCTGTGGGACATCTTGGCCTCTACAATAAAAAGAGCCAATTCCCCTAATAAATCCCCTCTCATATCTATAGATACACGTACAGTCATACGTGGCTTAACGCTGGGGATATGGCCTGAGAAATTCACTTAGGCGACTTCACTGCAGTGTGAACGTCATAGACCATATTTATATACACACAGGAGGTACAGTTTACCACACACCTGGGCCGCTAACGTGTACAGCATGTAACTGCTGAACACTGCAGACAACTGTAACATCATGGTAAGCATGTGTGCATCTAAATACTCCTAAGCCGGGTCCAATGACTCACACCTGGAATCCCAGCACTTTGAGGGTCTGAGGCAGGCAGACCACTTGAGGTCAGGAGTTCGAGACTAGCCTGATCAATATGGTAAAATCCTGTCTCTACTAAAAATACAAAAAATTAGCCAGGTATGGTGGCAGGTGTTTGTAATCCCAGCTACTCAGGAGGCTGAGGCAGAAGAATTGCTTGAACCCAGGAGGCAGAGGCTGCAGTGAGCCGAGATCATGCCGTTGCACTCCAGCCTTGGTGACAGAGCAAGACTGCATCTCAAAATAAAAAATAGAAAAATCTAAACTAAGAAAGCGTAATGCATTGCTCTACAACATCTATGTCAGCTATGACAGCACTGGTGATGGGAATTTTCCAGCTCCCTTATCATCTTTTGGGACCACTGTGGTGTACGTGTTCTGTCACTGGTCAAATGTTGTCACATGGTACAAGACCGTCCCTCTATCCTATTGGTTCTGTCACGCCGGAGGACCCTGACAAATGCAACTTGCATCTAGAATATAATAAAAACTCTCACAAATCAATAACAAGACAAGAAACTCAGTAAAACAGGCAAAAGACTCCAACACTTCGCTAGAAATAATATATCGCTTAATCGATGAAAGTAACATATATACACGTGAAAAGATGCTCAGCTCATCAGTAACCAGAGAAATGAAAATTAAAACCACGAAAGAAAAAAAAAAAGAAAATTAAAACCACGATGAGAAGCCACTGTCCACCCACCAAAACGCAAAAATAAAAACGCCTGACCACACCGAGCGCTGGTGGGGGTGGGCAGCCTCGGGAACACCCAGCAGAGCTGATGGAAGGAAAACGGGATGGGCACATGGGAACAGCATTTATGTGGCGGGTTCACATGCAGCTAAACATACACCTGCCCTTCAACCCAGCAGTTCTACTCCCAGGTATTTACCTAAGGGAGATGAAAACACCTCCACAAAAAGAACTTCAACAAGAACGTCCATAGCAGCCTTGTTCATAACGGCCACAGCCTGGACTGCCCATGTGTTTACAGGAAGATGAAAAACAGGCGATGAAGTCGGCAATAACAGTAAGCTGTGAAGACACACAATGGCGCAGGTGGGTGTCGCCAATTCTGCTGAGTAGAAGCAGTCTGGATTCAGGCTCTGTCACTACATGGACCCGGAAACTAATCTGTGACACGCACAAGAACGCAGTGACTTTGGGGTCTGGGGACGACTAGAAGAGGGTGTGAGGCAACTTTCTAGGGTGACCAGTGTACACATTTGTCACAACTCTTTGAGTTGTACATTCATGACGTATTTCACTATCCTGAAATTGTATCTCAATACAAAATCTTTTTCTCTTTTTTTGCTTTGTTTGCAGTCCGTAGGTTTGACTCTGAAAACCTGTTTTTGGGAAAACCAAATACAGCTGAAACATTCTGGAAAACAGTCAGATGGCGCTGACTGAGAATTTAAGAGTTATCAGTTTAAACGCTGTGTCTGTCCTCGCAGACCACTTACGCAGGTCACCGAAGGGTGAAATGTGATACCTGTTAACTCTCCTCGGGCACTTCTCTGGCTTGATATCCAATTCATAATGATAGATGTCAATTTTGGGGATGTCCATTTCGAAGAAATTGGCCTGTAATTTGATTGTTCTCCCGGAGGTCCCAAAGTCGGGTCTAGGTGGAGGCTTGAAGGCATATCCTTGGATGGGGGGTGGCGGCGGCGCAGGAGGCGCAAGTGCTGGAATGGCAGAGAGAACAGCCGTTATGGGGAGCGCGGTTGCTCGAGGCCCTCCCACCCCTCGGCCCCAGCCACCACACGCCCCCTCTGCTGTTTCCATTCATGTCCAGGCCAATATGGCATTCCACAGAGGCGGTGTCTCAACTTTAAGCCAATAATTGACTTAAAATGTATCATAACAACTCAAACTTGCTACATCCATTTCTGTTCTTTCTGCCTGTCAGACACTGGGCACGTAGCCTGAATTAGCAGCAAGGGAGACAAGGCAGAGAGCCCAAAAGTGTCAAGGTGGTGCCCCTCCCTCGCTGCTGTTTATTCGTTTACTCGGGAAATGATTTTCATTACACATAAGCGGTAGAAAATTCATCCCAACTCAAGTTCTCAGTGGCTCCATGCTAGTAAAGTTCAAAACGCATGTTTAGAAAAATAAGTATTTTCCAATAATAGAATACTTCCAATTTTCACTCAAATGTCTGCTAAAAAACAAAAAACAAAAACCCTTCTCCGTTTAAAACAAATCCCCTGTACTTCAATCCCTATTGACATTCACCAGAAAGAGAAAGTACTCTACCACAAATAATCGGAGCTGTCCTTACTGTATTTCGGACCTACAAACACCCAGAGACTCCTTGAATTACTTGCTTTTTATTTTGTTTCCTATGAGAAAACTAACATGTTTTAAAGGTTATTAAGCTCGCTGAGTTACACCATTTGGAAATGATCACGGCAGCTTGGTCTTCCACCAAGCTGTCCTGACTTCATGGATGACACATCTACAGGCGTCCACAACACTCCATCCCGTCAGTGGCACACAGCACGTGCCCCAGTGTGCTGGGCGCCATGCCCTAGGCCAAGGCTACAAAAATGAACCCAGTCAGGCCAGGCACGGTGGCTCACACCTGTAATCCCAGCACTTTGGGAGGCCAAGGCGGGTAGATCACCTGAGGTCAGGAGTTCGAGACTAGCCTGGCCAACATGGTGAAACCCCATCTCTACTAAAAATACAAAAATTAGCCAGGCGTGGTGGCATGCACCTGTAGTCTCAGCTACTCAGGAGGCTGAGGCAGGAGAATCACTTGAACCTGGGAGGCAGAGGTTGCAGTGAGCCAAGATTGTGCCACTGCACTCTAGCCTGGGTGACAGCAAGAGACTCCACATCAAAAAAAAAAAAAAAAAAAAAAAAAAAAGCAAGTCCTGAAGCAGTTCCCATGACATGCAGACGGTTTCCACTTGTCAGTCATCCACAGGATGGCGTCTGATGGCTTTCCATAAGCTCAGCAGGTCACTGAGATCCTTCTCAGCATGGACCCTGACAGTGACCAGGAGTGGACACTGCAGTCCAGGTAGGTCAGCGGAGCCGGCCACTCCCTTGAGGGCCGACTGAGCCTCTCCGTACACCAACACTGGAGCAGAACGAAGTGCTCACCAACATGTGGCCCTGTTCTCAGGCGGCTCCAACCACCCAGTGAGACAGCTCCCAGAAAATTCCAGGACAGAGCCAGGAATCCAGCCCCATGGCCAATCTCGATTCCAGGGTAGGGCGTGTTCCCCTCAGGGAGGAGAGTCACTGTCCTTTGGTGACTCCCAGCTTACAAGGTGCTCATGCAATTACTTAACCGAGCCTCACAATCACAGCACAAAGGGGCACACTGCTGGCTGCGAGGTTTGGGGCTGGAACACAAGTAACTCACAGGTGAAGCAGAGCTGAGAGTCCGGCTCCAAACCAGGCTCCTCCACCCGGGCCCCAAGCAGAGTCCCGGCACAGATGCCGCCCGGGCCCAGGTCTCAGGCTGACCCTCTCTCTCCTAAGGAGACCCCCCGCCCAGAGACCTCCTCCTCTGCAACACCTGCCGTGGGAGACGGGAAACCTACACACAGCCACTGGTACTAACCTCTGTGAATAAAGGCAATGAGAAAATGCAGGGGTAATTCATAAAATCTGCAATTTCCCAAGAGAGTCCTTTCTTGCTTCTAGCTTTTAATTATGAAAATACTGATACTTCACGTGAAGGCATATGGAATATGAAATTACAAGTTAAAGATGTAAAAGTTTTCCAGGCAGAGAGGCCGGGAGGGCCCACCTTCCCGAACCTTCGGGAAGACACCTCCACTGCCGAGGACACCTCTGCAGGCCTGAGCCCTCGGGGTACCTGAAATCGGCTCTGAGCACCCACAGGGAGTCCCACATGTAAGCTGTAGACACAGGCTGGGAGGATCAAAGCTGAAGCGTGTGGGAGGAGGCGGAGCAGAAGTGTGTGGACGTGCACAGGGAGGAGGCGACGACATGAAGGGCACTGGCTGCCCTCCCCCGCCCGCAGCTGTGAGCCCCTGGCCCTGGAAGGTGAATAATGCACCAAGATGGGGACCAAATGTACAAGAGGCCACAAGACATGGATGGGCCACACACGCACTCATCCCATTTGACACGGATGGTTCTAAAGGGAATTCTAATTCCACCCAGTGACACATTCTCCAAGTGCTCTCTGTTGAAGAAATGGAAGCCTGTGAGGAGGAGGCATCCAGGATGCCTTCGCCGAGAACATGCCACCGCACTGGCCTTCACAGAACGGGTCCTGGTTCCCGCTGCCTGTCCAGTCCAACAGCTGAGTCTGAAATCCCTGCTCTGCATCCAAGACCCAAACTTACCTCCCCACGACCACCAGGTCCGCTGGCGGCACCCTCCTCCATCTCCTCCAGCCTCCAAGAATGCTCCAAGGAGCCATCGAGGTTCCACCTCTCCGTGGACGCTCTCCCCAGACGCCCCATGGGCACCTCCTCCTGAGGCCACAGGTGGCACGCCCTGCCACATGTCCCACCCAGCAACTAACGAGTCTTAATAAGTGGGTTTCCAGTTGTTTCCATAAGTGTTAGTCTTGTCTCTGCACTGAAGGTTGAAACCCTTGGGAACAGAAAGGCAAATCCTCTTTCATTCAGGAATCCCAGGATCCTAGCGCAGGGCACCTCAGCCACACTGCAGGCTCGATTTCAACACAATAAAATAGATCATGCCAATGCTTAGGTGTCCCAGTGCATATAAAAGTTCCATTTGCACTATACTGCAGTCTAGTAAGTGTAATAGCATTGTGTGTAAATAATGGAACAGAGGGAGGCAGAGAGGGATGGGGGGGCAGAGGGGCAGAGAGGGAGAGAGGGAGAGAGGGCGAGAGGGAGGGACAGAAGGAGGGAGGGAGGGACAGAAGGAGGGAGCGAGGGAGGGAGGGAGGGAGGGAAGGAAGGAAGGAAGGAAGGAAGGAAGGAAGGAAGGAAGGAAGGAAGGAAGGAAGGGCGGGCAGACGGACGGACATACTATCTGTGCAAGGCAATAAAGCAAGGTGTGCCTGTGGTTGGAAGGGACCTCAGCTGCTGCTGGGAGGGGCAATGGCTCCCCGGGACCCAGGGCTGGCAGGCCCGCTGCACTTAAGGCCATACCCATTCCTTGGAAAGTGAGTTCCGAGGGCAGGGCCTGGAACCCAGCGTAGCGTCACACACAGCCGTGCTGTGTTTGCTGAATCGAGATCACTCAGCGTGTTTATTTAAGATTCCAGTTTTAGAGCCGCATCTCACACAGCAAAAGGGAAACGTAGTGAATGAGTAATCGGCTTCCTGTGTGAGCAACTGGGTCACGGGGAACACAAAGTTTCAGTATGCACAGCGGACGTCAGCAGAGGTGGGCAGCAAGCCAGCAGGCGGCCCCCCGAGAAACCCCTTTAGGCGCTGGCTCCTCCCCGACTTTCCAGGGAGTGATTTGGGGCAGACTCCTGCCACCTGCCCCGAGGGCCATCTAAGTGAGGGACAGGGGCTGGGGAAAGTTGCTGCATGAGGAGGAAAGTGAGGGCCTGCCGGGATCCCCCGCGGACACGTACCCTGGAGTAGGGACAGCAGCAGCAGCAATTCAGAGTCACTAAATAAATGAATGGCCCAGCTCTTCCATGAAGTCGATTTGGCTACCGGTGAGTGAACCACAGGCCCAGGCTGGCATCCACAGGCTGCACAGCTGTGGCCTGAGCTTGGGTGGCAGCCTCGCTGTGAGGCTGGCACAGGGGCCCATGGCTGTCCCCTAGGAACCGGCCCAGGGCTCAGCACCAATGTCTCGGGATGCAAACGGTTAAAGATCTGTCACCCAAATGTCACGCAAAGCTGTTTCCGAAGCCATGCTTCTCCATGGTCCTCCTAGAACTCTGCATTCGTGACACTGGGCATCAGCCAGCAAGCGTGCAGGCTAAAGAACACGAGAAAGGTAGCTCAGGGCTGCTAAGAACTTCTGTGCCACACCCTGCGCAAAGCCGGGTGCAGACCTGGACTCTGTGATGCCAGAACAGGGGTGCCCTGGCCAGGCAGTGGCCGAGCAGCCACTGAGATCTGTGCCATTAGCACGAGCCATGGAACGGGACAGGTGACGGCCCAGTGAGCACAGCCCGGAGAGGAGAGGCTATCAAGCTGTATTCTCCTGCTAAAATCAGGACACGGGGGTGACAGCTCACCTGCCGTCTACACAGGCAAGCCTCCCTGGTGGCCACCCAAGCTGACACTAAACACAGTCACGGCAGTGTTTTTGGTAAAATGGACGGAGGCAGTCTCAAATGCATACTGAGAATGCAGACGGAACATCTGCTCCTGTCAGCCAGAGCGCAGACAACTGTGCGCTGTCTGCCGCGCCAGCCCAGGGCCACCAACAAGCCCACGGTGAGCCAGAGTCAAAGCCTCACCCAGCCGGCATTCACAGAGACACGTCCGGCCCAGGCACCACAGCTGCACAGGGACAGCCGCAGCTGGGTCCCCAGCTGATGCGTTCCACCGCCCCCAATCTGACTCGCAAACTGGGGCAAACTGACCTCAACAGGGGCGCTGGAGCCCCCCCCAGGTCTGTGAGGACACACCGAAAGTCAAATGTGACGAGACCGGAGGCAGGGGGAAATGGAGTTCTCATGCTTTGGGGGTCCCAGGTCCCTGGCGCAGAACCCGCCGAAACACAGACGCAGAGGAAATGGAGGCACAGGCAGGGGTCCCAGGTCCCTAGCCCC